TAGATATTAACGTGCTATTTGATGTGTGTGTGTGTGTGTGTGTGTGCAAAATTAACATTATCAAATTAATTATTTAAGCTAATATTACTTACGCTAATAACGTTGAAGTAATATAATTAACGTGACGCAATGAAACAGCAAATGGATTAAAATTATGCACGTAATGTGCGTGACGAATCAGTGTGTAAGTGCAAATATTCTCTTTTCCGGCTATTCAACTCGTCTTTCGTATTAGGTAATGGAGCGATTGTCGGTCGAATGATGTGTTAACAAAATCAAAGAAATTTCTTTAAGATATGCGTATCGAATCGGAGGTGTATTTCCGGCCGAATTCATATGTTGTTACAACACGACGAAATCGACAGAGGGAAACCGTCGATCTTTCTCGAGCGCAACGAGCTCGAAGAGGATAATAGCGCGTACACGTCACTGCGCGCAGAAATGATTGCGAGAACGAACTGACAGCTCGCGTATAAGTCTCGTACAGCACATGTTTCAATGACTGCTGAGTCATAGATACAAATAGTGATGGCTACAAAAACCGTTGCGTCATCTCAAGTCAAACAACTATGAAAAATATATTTCAATAGTTAAGTAGAGAGAGAGAGAGAGAGAGAGAGAGAGAGAGAGAAAGAGGAAAAAAATACGAGAACGATGTTCTTATTAATTTTTTTTTGACAGCTATCTGTCAATTCGATATAGCTTTTGTTCGCTTTATTCACTTTTTCGTGGCGTAAAATAAACTCTTTGCATCGAAAGTTTTCTCGCACATTTTTCACGCGGTTACGCGCGCGTCATCATCGTGTCACGGAACAAACTCTGATTGCCGCGCACATCACGCTCGGCAATACACACGTTCGCACGATAATTCTCACATCGGCCGGGTGCGTAAGCTTTCCCCGCGGCACGTCCGGCGGGAGATCGCGTGGTCGCCGGTCATCGTATTTGGTACCTTCCTGTCCCCTCGCTTCAACCCGCACGTCGCCTTCGGAACGGCCTGATGGCTTCGCGTTAGCCTATTATCTTAATCTACCAGCGGGACAAATAACAGGGTAGCGCGTTTCTGCCGCCTGCTAGTCGGGAATGCGCTATGATATCCTCCTCCGCAATCGATACGTTTTATGTATTTGGATGCACGCGTTTTAGAGCTCGGAGATTACCCGATTAATGCATCAGGTTTTGCTCGTTATCGCGAACATCAACATTTATTAGAGCAAACACGGTTGTGAAAATGTTAGAAGAGAAATAATAAAATATTCGATATTATTAATATAAATACTAAAATGTATGCAGCGAGAGATAAGTGTGAAACTGGAAACTCTCTGATGATTTTATAATAAATAAAGCCGATTTTGCAAACACTCCGTATCAAGTACAATATCAAAATTCCCTTTTGACGTAAAATATTGATGCGCGTGTAATATATATATATATATATATATA